GAGCAGCGGCCCCCCCGGCCAGCTTTCCCCAGTTTATGTACTGAGCATGACGTCACATGGTATGGAATGTCCCTTTGGCCAGTTTGGCTGTGCCCCCTCCCAGCTTCTTGTGCACCTCCAGCCTTCTCAGTCGGTAGAGCATGGGAAGCTGAAAAGTCCTTGGCTAGTGTAAGCATTACCTAGCAACAACTAAAACATCGGTGCGTTATCAACTTTGTTCTCATCCTAAATCCAAAACACTGTACCAGCTACTAGAAAAGAAATTAACTCTATCCCTGCCGAAACCAGGACACCCTCCCTTCAGGTATTTATACGCATTGATGAGGTCCCCCCGAGCCTTCTCTTCTCCAGGCTGAACAGTCCCAGCTCTCTCAGCCCCTCCTCATAGGAGAGATGCTCCGGTCCCTTCATCACCTTCGTGGCCCTTTGCCGGACTCTCGCCAGTAGCTCCATCTCTTTTTTATATACTGGGGACCAGCACTGGAACACGGTGCTCCAGGTGTGGCCTCACCAGTGACCTGTTGGTGTCTCTTCTTAGGGAAGACACAGCAAATTCTTGGCTCAGACAAGATTAATAGCTTTTAAATATGGATTCATAACTCTTATATGACAGAACGTGAAATTGTTAAGGATCTTTGTTTATAATGTTCTTGTGTTGGACAGATGCATACATTATGGTTAGTGCTTAATAAAACTGAAACCTGGACACTCTGAAGTTTAGTTTTGCTTGGCTCCATAAAGCAAACAACCAAAACCGAAGCAGCAAACAGAAATCACAGCGATAATTATCTATAAAAACAGATGGATGATACAACAATGAAATAAATGTTATTCTCCTAGCAATAGCAGCATGTATGTGGACTCAAGTATAAAGAGTTTATGCTGTGTGAAGCACTGTAAAAAACATGAAAGGATCAGTCATATTCATATCCTGGCTTTACAAATAAATTTTAAGGGGCTTTATTTATAGGTGATAATCTATTAACAATTTTTTTCAATATCCTTTCACAGCAGCCATAAAAGAATATAAGTTCTACAGTTTTTTTGGAAAGTTGGTAGAAATTAAATAGTATATAATCTAGCTCATCTGTTTATAATGTGCCTATTACCAACACCTGTTAGTTCCATATGAAATACACTAGATGTATCTGTGTTCTTATACAGTTATTACAATGTTTTCTCTTAAAAATACACTGTGATAATGAATACATTAGTCCATTGACACAGTTGTACTTATAATCTTTTTCAATTTTATGATCAAGGAATTACGATGCCGACAGATTACATACTCACCCAAGAATACATAAGGCAATAGCCAGGGAGTTTCTCATGCTCTCGGCACAAAACAAATCCAGACAAAGTGGGGAATCTTTACACAGATGATTCCATCTGTCAATTGTCAACTGTGTCACCTGGAACAAATTGCTATGCTTCAGTTTTCTCCCTGTAAACAGGAATGAATCTGTTCCAGCACTACACAGGGATGGTATTGGGAACCTTCCTGAATTTATAAAAATGCTTTGAGATACCTACGTAGAAAGCGCTTTGTACATTCAGAGCATTGTATGGATTGTCAGCACTAAAATGCTACCCCTGAGATTTCTGCATCTGTGTATTACGGTTTTGAAGTAATCAGGAAGTTTCCCTCCTTTCTGTGGTGTAAAGGGACGCCTGTGAAAGACTCTAGTTTGGGGCTGAAATGGCAAGATTATTTTAGGCATGCGGGTGTTACCGCCATGGATTTCCTTGTGTTTTTCCTATCTTCTAATTCATGTAGAATTCTTCTGTCACCATTCACTTTGGAGTATTTGTGGTATGTATGTGTATGGAGTATTAGGTATGGTTTGAAGTCCTCGCTCCC